ACAAGAGAATCTTTTGTTATCAAGGCTTTTAGCCAGAGTGGATCCTTTTAATGTCACCTTCAGGATTCATATGTTATTAGACATGGCTTCAGAGAAAACACGAAACCAGGCCAACAAGGCGAGAACGTGTTCTAGGAGCAGAAGCAGTAAGAGGATGGAACACAGGCTCTTTTTGTACAGTTACCAAATATAAAATGATATGTGTAAAACCACCCACAGAGCAGGGGACTGTGACACAGACACGAGTGCTGCTGAGCGGCGGCCGAGCAGCCTTTTTGGTCCTGAGTGACAGCTCACATCCAAATTGTCTAGTGATATGTAATGCTAAATGAACCGGATAAACATGTCTTTAAATGAGCGGACAGACTTACCACCCCCCTCTTTCATCAAACCTGTGGGTCCCCGTCCCAGACAGACACACACACACACACACACACACACACCACCACCAGTCCTCTATGGACTCATGCTGTTCAGGGCCCCAGACCCGAACAGAGCCCGGCTAATGGAAAGCTTTCAAGGTGGCCGGAGAAAAATGTCGGCTGTCATTTGGCCTCCACCGTTTTCTGATGTCACTGGTGTACAAACACCTTGGGACACGCCATTAAAAACAGGCCTTCTAACTGAAAACAACAACACTGTCCACCCCCCACCTCCACGCACACACACCTGCAACGGCCTGCATGAATGTGCCATATTATGTTGGACTTAAAATAAAGGCTAAAATCACTTTTACAATTATTAGCAGTGGTAGCAGTTTAGTAATTATGACAAACTTAATTTATCGAGCACTTCTCTAGTCACATGTAACAAGACAAATAAGACAACCAGCAATGAAATACAAAATTAACAAGAACAAAACAAGACAGTACATCAGCCAAGTGGATAGCAAAGACTGGATAAAATGGCTACAATAAGAGGAATTTGAATGAACTAAAATCAGGGAAAACTGAATGATAAAGGTGTGATTTGAGAAGAAGAACATTTTAAAGGAGTGATGTAGCTGGCTGACCATGCAATGCTTTGTCAAATGTTGGCAATTAATGTTTAGAATCATTTCTAAAATGAGCAGGCAGCCAGCGGAAACAGGTGTAATATTGGTACAGTCATTATTTCTAGTTAAAAAGCCCCACGGCACTGTTTTGAGCAGTCTACAGCTTGCCTAAGGGATTAAGGCAGGTGAAAATGACATTGCACTGGTGAAGATGTGGCGAAGATGAAGGCGTGCATGTGGGTTTCAGTTTCTCCAAAAACCTTGTGTAGGTCGAATCTTTGCTTTGTTGCTAAACTGATAAACAGTGACATTGCGATTAAATTAGAGATTGAATGTTGTATCATAGCCACAGGTTTGATGTTGAGAGATCCCAATGCCTGATCAGAAATATGTTGAGGGATGATATTAAGAATATACACTGTGTCTTTTCCAGATTTAACTGAAGAAAATAAGTTGCCATCCAGCAGTCAATGAGACAACTGTGTAATGAGCTAGCACACCAAGGTCAGTGGACTTTATTAGTATGGCTACATGTCATAGGATTTTCTTTAAAATGAGCCTGTCAGTGTACACCCTACACCCTAGACAGGGCTGCTGCACATCACAAGAACTAAGTCACCTGAGATCATTTTTTTTTAATCATATACTTTATGTTTCTAAAATGATATTTTAAATATCTTTATGGTATAAAAGCAAACATGCATCCTTGTTCCATTACTGCCACACTGTTAAAGTCTGCGTAAAAGCAGTCCAGGGGAAGTGTGGTGGAGCCCCTCCAGGAGGAAGCTTTGCCTCTCCCCACACGTGTTCAGCCTGTCAGCTGCCTCTGCTGATGTCTCTTGTTATTATTTTCCTCTCATTCTGTTGCCTTTTCTTCGCAGAGTCATGAATAATTTGTGTCTACGCCTTGTTGCTGGATGACAGCTGTGCAGTTGGTTCGCAGTCTGTTTTTCAGATCAGGTGAATAATGAATAAGCCTCTGCAACAAAAGAGCCATGTCCTATATGAGCCCTGCCTCTCTTCATCTGTCCCAGCTTGGGGACAGGTGAGCAGATAAAAAAAAAAAAAAACAGTCTCTCTGATGCAGAAAGTTTCCTAAATGAAATGTGCACGCAGAAGGCTTGGAAACGGCGTTATTTCATATCTTCTCATCTTCCAAGAACGTCTTACCATCATTTCCTGTAACCGAGCATATTAATCAGTGCCTTTTCTCCGAAGCTTGCCGTTAGAAATCCTGTCTCTCTCTCAGGTTATCTCTCTATGCAACTTGTCAAACCTGTGTGAAATCTGCTGAACAGGGCGTGAGAGCGAATACCACATTATTATTACAATATACACAACAGGTCTGCTCGCCCTCAGGGGAACAATCACATGTGTCTCTCTCCATAGTGTCCTCCCTATCTTCTTTCATATGAAAAGTATATTATTCTGACCACTCACCAGATGTTTGCTGGTTCTAGAGATTGACACTTGTCCGCTGTGTGGGTGTGATCTTTTTTTTCTCTGTGAGGTACTGCATGTGATGTTTTAATCTGATTCCGTCCTTTAGTGCAGTTAAATCAGGAGATGGGGTCCGGTTTCAAAAGTTGTCGCGGCATGCTGGCCTATTGGAACACCTCCACTACAAATTCTGAATCTCATAAAAGGTTTTGTGTCTGTGCATGAAGAAAAAAAAAAAAACATAGCCTAGAGGTTTATTTTTATCGAAACTCTTCTGCACAGTCTGACAACAAAACCCAAAATAGATCGTTTAAGTCTAGATTAGGACGCCCTGTGTAGCACGTTTAAGATGCAAATCAAAATCAAACCCCGAACTGTCTCTAAAATCTCTCTTCTTTTATTCAAGTTGAATTTTAGATTAATAATGAATCACCCCAAACCACAAAAACCAGACACTGAACTTTCTAATTGCACAACTGTGTCTGTCAAGAAAAATTAACCCAGTCATACCTTCGGGTGGAAGCAAGTGTGGTTGTGCGCACAGTCGTGTGTGTGTGTGTGTGTGTGTGTTTTGCGTGTTTCTTGAGTGTGTGCACTCAAAAGATGCAGGTTAGCAACAAGATTTGAGCCTTAGACTGCAATGCTCTGATTACTGGCCCACTCCTATCGATTGAGCCGGATTCTATTCATATTTGATATGCCTCGGGGCAGTTGGGTAATGCTTTAAAAAAATCTACCGGTGGCCTTGGAGGAAATCTGGTCAGCCTAATGGCTCGTTTGAAGATTTCTTCTTTTTTTATTTTGCTTGAGAAGCTTCTCTCTGAGATTGTGCACGAGGAGCCTATCTCAGAGGACACCATGCAATAGGCTACCTAAGGAGAGAAAACATTAGTCGCAAATGAGTCGGTTCCTAAATAAAAATAAATAAATAAAACACAGTTCGTTTGCTTTAAAAAAAAAAAAAAAAAGAAGAAGTCTACCTGTGCCGCACGTGATATGATCCACTTGCCCCTTACTTCAAAAGGTCGTGGTCAGGCTGGTGGCTCCGGGCTGCCTCCGAGTGTTAAAGGCACTTACTTAATGGCAAAGCCAGCTTCATTCCAACAGGAGGTAATTCCCCTGTGAGCAGATTCGACATCACTCAGTTTGAAGGCAGCCGTGCAGCATTTGTCTCTGAAACGCTTTAGTAATTTCCTTTATAAAAACGGCACATTTCCTGTTGACTCACTCTCTTTTACATTGTATTTTTTAACAAGTCATTTTTAAACATATTTTTTTTTAAACGGGACAGCCAGGTTGGCGCACGTGAAGTTTGCTTTTATTTAAAGAGAGTAAATGACGTGGCTCGCTCCGCGCGCAGCCTCCATTAAGTCATAAATGAGCTCGCCTTTCCCCTGTTCTCCTTTAGTCTGCTCATCTTGGGGTTTAAAATATTCAGTATTTTCGCAGGCCTGGATGTTGTACGATTTTGGGGGAAGTGAGGCATAGGAAATCCTTGTGAGTCAGTGATTTCAATCAATGTTGAGGGAAGACAACTAAGTGATTGTTCCTCTTTTCTCTCTTTTGCCTTGTTAGAGAGTCAGACAAGATGAGACAGTGAAAGAACCCAATGATGACAGCAATTATTAAGACAGCTGCTCAGGTGTGTGCGCTCCCCTAACTGGGTCTAAAGCAGCAGTGCAAAAACAGTGACACAATGGTGGAAAAGCTTTTCTGGTGAGGTGATAAATTTGATTTCAAACTTGTGGTTTAGCCTATATCTCCTGATGATGACGGAATGGAAGTCACCCATATCCCACCCGCATCCCCCACAGCTGCATGTCCTGCCCTGTCTGCCAGCTTCCTGCCTAAATTCGTTAGAGGGTTTTTTTTATTATTATTATTCTTATTTTTAAATAACAGCCATGGGGGCAAAAAGCATCTGGTTAATGGCTAAATCTGCTCAGACTGTTTAAGGTTCAAACACATGGCTACAGGGGTCAAAACAAACAGGAGCCGCGGTGGCCCCTGGGCGATCACAATCACGGCAACAAGATGGTTAGATGTGCTGGCCCTGTAGTTTTGATGAGGCCTAACCTAAACCCTTGGAAAACCAAAGATCTTATCAGCTCAGATAGTATTGTTTTGTAGACGATGAGAATGAAGTAGCTTACTTAAAGATGAATTTTGAATTACTAATAATAATATTAACAACCTGTTTATTAGGTGAAATAGGGCATAATTTAATACACTGCTTTGTGTCGACTTTTACTATAATTGTTGTGCTTAAACCTGAGTTAAATGACCAGTAAACTGTAAATTTTATTCAGTCCCATATCCTTCCTTTGGGAAATAAATCATCTTAGATTATCCCACTTTTGGATTTGTATTGCATATTTTATTTTAAATCTGCACTGATCTTGAGCTGCTGCTCAAAAGCATCCTACAGTGTTGAGGCTACCATTTCAACTACTTTTAGGCCTTTAGACGAACAAATAGCATAGACCTGTCTTTGTTCATGTCTGTTTGTTTTAACCCTATTGCAAATCACATTTCCCCTGGTGGGACAATAAAGATAAAGATGGAATTGAAAACAAAAAAGCATATTTATTTGTAAACGACAAAAGGTTAAATCTGACAATAAAATGTGCAACATGGAAAAGTGAAATTCGTGAGTGAGGCAGTGACCCTCCTGTTTATTAAATCACACAGTCTGAGGAGGCTGTTTTGCCAGCATGTCTCTGAACAGAAAACAAAATGTTCTTTGGAAAGGCGCGGATTTTCATCTCTTATTGTCGATCCGGTTATTTAGGTGCGAGTGCAAATATTTTGGGTTGAGTGCCCACTATAGCTGATTCATATCAGTCGACATACAAACACAATGCATTTATTTATTTCATCATCTGCTTTTCTCACAGTTCACAGCTTATCTCTGGTTTTCTGGACCTTTACAATAATCTGCAGTCTATAGCAGGGGGAATAATTAGTGTTGCCGATGTCTTCACACTGCAAATCATCGTGTGTTTAAACCTCAAGTCTTATTCATGAGACTTTTACGTTTTCCTTATTAAAATAAATTAAAAAATATCTGCCTGTCGGCTGAGATCATTATATACAATATTTCCAATGCACTTTCACAATAGGTTTTTACAAAGCTAGAGGTGGCTCAAATTCAGCTTTGATCCATGAAATGTCCTGAAGCTGAGTGATTGGGGGGGTGGAAAGGCGAAAAATGTCCTCGGTCTAAAATGTCTTTTGTCAGATGTCCTCACTCATTTCAAGGACAATAATTTAAAGACTCAGCGGCCAGATTGTATGACGTGATTTGTGCAGTGATCGCCGTTTAATCATTTCAGTCCGTGCTGCGTCTCTTTGTGTCTCCTCAGGTCCACTTTCCTCTGGAAACCTTTGCCGCAGAGGTCGCAGCCGAAAGGTTTGTATCCGGTGTGCTTCCTACTGTGCGTGATGAGGTTGGAGCTCTGGCTGAACGCTTTCCCACACACCTGGCATTTGTGCGGCTTCTCCCCTGAAAAACACATTTAGAACGCATTTTAGTTTAGTTGTTTTTTTTTACTGGACGTTTGCTTAATTTTGTGCTCCAAATCAGGAAGATACCGGACTTTTGCGCGCCACTTACGCACATATTTTCTACCTCCCACAAGGAACACTAGAAATTCCAACAACTGTTTCACTTCACATGCAGTGCAGTCTGCCCTTTTCTCCACTTGCCTGTGTGGATGAATGTGTGCTTCTTCATGTCGGACTTCTGGTGGAACCTCTTCCCGCAGTACTGGCAGGGGTATGGCCGAGTGTCGGAGTGGATGAGCAGGTGCGTCGACAGAGTGGACGACCTCTTGAAACTTTTACCGCATATTTTGCAGTCGAAACTTCTTTCCTGAAACGTGAGCAGAGGCATAAGTCAGCGCACAGACAGAGAAGCAGGTTGACAACAACAACAACAAGGCGCCGATCCAGAGGCGTGAGGTGTGAGTTGCAGGATGTGGTTTAAAGTGTGTGAAGTTACCTGAGAGTGCACCGCTTTATGCTGTTCCAGGCTCACTGCGTGTCCGAAGGTTTTGCCGCAGATTTCGCACGCAAATGGCCTGGTGCCGCTGTGCGATCTGCGGACGTGGACTTCCAAACCGTGCGGAGTAGAAAACACCTGGTGGGAAGAAAAAAATTAAAGATATGTTTCTAGCTGAAAATAAAGATACATTTTGTTCAATAAATAGTTCAATCATTCCAGTAGAAACCACCGCGTCACATTGGGATCATCTGATTTACAGGTAGGAAAAAGTTTTGGTGTATTTTATTTTATTTTTTTATCATTTTACACCCATGCTTTTAATTATCCACACAAAGCAGAGGGTGTGTATGCATCTCCATTCTTACCTTACTGCACTTGACACATTTGTAAGCACCGTTGAGGATCAGACTGGAGCAGAGCAGCTCCGACTGGGCCTTCACATTATGGGCTTTTCCAACCCGGCCTTCCTCAGGAAACAGCAGAGCTGCGGCATGCCTCCTGTAGTCGCTGTACGTCTCCTCGCCCAGAGTCCGTTCTGGGTACAGAGCTGAATGGGTGCTCCTGCTCCCGTAGAAGGCCATAGCTGCCGGGCCCCTGTCCACCTCCATGCCGGGATGGAGGCTCTGCCGCACCAGGGGCCTCAACCCGGGCCCCGGGTAATTGCTCCAGGCATACGGCCGGAAGGGGACACTGAAGGGCTGGGTCTCGTCCACCAGAGGAGACAGGGATTTCTCTGAATCAACTGGAAACGGGAACATAGGCCAGATGAAATTTTAATGAAACCAGTGACATGGTTGAATCGGGGCGTTTCCAGGGCCCCATAGGGCCCAACTGGGCATAAGGAGTCATGCAATGTTCTTTCAGAGAATTCCCAGGTGATTATTCTGTTGTGGAAACCAGGAATATCAGATGATAAAAGAGGAAGCGTGCACTGTAATAAACCAATGAGTATTGGGAGCATTTAGGTTATTTTAAAGTACAGTTTCATATTTATACTTTTATATACAAAGAGATAAAACTCCCATGAAAAAAAGTAGATTAAAAGTAGCCTACTTCTTTATAGAATGATGCTTAGATTCACATGTTGATAGCACATGGAACAAAAACATGCAAACTCTTTGTAGTCTACCACAAAGGCCCAATGTTTTGTTATTTTATATTCGGGACCTTGACCACATGTGATCATCTTAATTCCTCTTATAGCATTACAGGAGCTACAGGAAGTCATAAGTGTGTGAGTGTGTACCCGGTGATGCAGAGGGGGACGGAGGCCTCCAGAAGTCCTCATAGTCTGTGGAGCGACCGCACAGGCTGTCGGCGCAGCTCAGCGGGGACTTCGGGGAAAACTCAGCAGCGTCAGCAAGGTTGGAGTCAGGAGACAGGCCATACCTGTCCACCGACATGTCAGTGTCATCCGGGAGCTTATCTGCCTCTGACAGGACACACGGAGGACAGTCTGCATCTTAATGAAAAAAGAAGCAAGAACATCATAATGTTGTTTTAAAAGAGGAAAGCAATTCAAAACTCATCGCCTGCAGTTAAAGGCTACTTACTACTGGAGAGTTAAAAACTACCATCACTTATAATGAAGGTCACTGAATGGTGCTTATATTACAATGATGGCACATTAGGACAGTTGTCAAAATTTAGCACAAAAGGGTAAAACCAATATTACCTCACTTCTAGAAATAATAGCCTAATAATATAGCCTAATATAACAGGAAATCAGTGGTGATAAAATAGAGTCAAAGAATCGTTAGCTGAGATCTCCACCGATGCACAACTGAGTAAACATCAGAAATTCCACTTTCATTTTTGATTTCAGCATTTTTTTTGGAAAAGGAAATCGAGGCCTATTTTATCAAACTGCAGCGCTGCTACCCAGCCCTTCAAACCGTAAAATCACTGATACATACATGCAGGTTGCCCCTTCATCATTTAACATGTCTTAACCATATAGCCAAATATTTCTCCTGGAAATTGTCTGCAATTATTGCGATCAAAACGTCTTTTAGTTCAAATAAATTTATTTACGTTGATTGGGATAAAATGTAACATTCATAGACACGTTTTACGCAGTGAAGAATATTTAAAAGAAGAATCATTTTGCGCATACCTGAGCATATGTGCGCCAGTATAGTGTCCAGCCTGCTGTAGTCATCCTCTAAACTCCGGGGCTGGTGGTAACTGTGCGCCTTTTTACTCTTCACCATGAAGGAGCGAGGCATCTCTGACCTGGGAGCAGGCAAATCAGTGGTAATAATCCAGAGGACTCCTCGGGTGGACGCTGCTACTCGCTCTGAACCCTGCAAAGATTTGATGGTGGGGAGATGCGGCTCCAAGTGCTTTAAGAGATTTCGACCTGAGTAGGGAGCATGCGCACACCGCCCGTCCCGTCTGCCAGGTGTTGCACGGACAGGTGCCCCTGCAGAGGCTCCTCTGCTCACAGCGCCTCAAATAATGCACGCATGCAGTGTTTTAGTCAGCATGCAGCGTGGTTACAGGTGATAGGAAAATAGTCTGCCGCGGGGGCGACTTCTTGTCACCTCTCTTCATGCAAATTCACTAATTTCAGGACTTGATAACATATGACGTGTTTTGCCTTTGCCCGACATTTGTTTCAAGAAACACCCGTGGAATTATCAGCAGTTGCTGCTCATGCCTTAGCCTGTATTTAAAAATAAAAACCAGACACCACGTCAGACTCTGAATGACTCTTGAATCCGGACTTTTTTTTTTTCCAGTGTAGAGCCCACCGTCGGGAGCTACCGGTCCCTCTCGGATCAGACTGCGGCTCGTGTCTCCAGAGGAGCGCGTGGCAATCAGGAGAAGCGATACAGGCCTTATCAGCGCCTTACTCAATCTGACAGGGGGAGAGGATAAGCGGAGGCGCACCCCAGGGTGTCACTTGCTGAGAGACTGCATGTAACCTTGTGGTTGACTAAAAGGGCAGGGGGAAACTCTGAACCTATAGCCTATCTATAGATCATATTGACACACATAGGGCCCACACTTTAACATTATGGCACGCACGTCCTTGCAGGTTTGCAAGAGTGTGTTTGGTGTGTTTGATCTTTCCTAAAACACCGCGGAATAAAATAACAGCCAATTAGCTGCAAGAACTGGCGAAATTCAGAACAAATCCTCACACTAAATACACCTTCATTTGGATTAAACTCCTGACAAAGTTTGGTGGAGCTTTGTCCCGGTCTGGTGGTCATTCGGGCCGTAGACTGTTATTATGTGACAGACACTCACCGTCCTCATGCCTGCGGTGACAGTTTCACGTTACCATGAGCATTATGCTCAAAAGAAAGAAGCCCCTAACAGAGACGACTTGTTTTCTGTTCGCCCAGAACGCAGATTGTAGCGCTTGTTAAGCGTCATTACGCACCGAACTAAAGGACAGAGTCGCGCGGACCGGTGCGCTTCATCCATTGCAGGTGCATGCATGTTACTCAGCTACATTGCCTTTGAGAATAATTCGATGTTTGTGCTTGATATCATTTTCCTTTAAAACTTTGCCAACAGGTGTTCAAATTTAGATCACAGTTGCACTCAATTTAACACACCCACATTTACTGATCAATCAGCTCAAACGAAATCTTCCATAACACACACACACACACACACACACACACACACAGAAAAACGATGTCCAAGACAAACCTTGGCTCGGGGGCTGTTTTAACCTGGACTCATCAAATTTTGCACGAGCACACACTCTGGCGGGGTCACCAATAGATTAGCTGCTGATCGCAATGTATGCTTTTTAGCACTTGTCGGCTACAGACAGACAAACCCGCCTATCAGTAGCCTACACGAAGGACAGGAAATCAAAGCGCCACATGCCCCGGCTCGATTACACGCACCGCGGCCGCGGCATCCGGACACAGTGTTGGTGAAGATATGCAGCCCGGACCGATAAAAGTAAAGCGGGCAGGCCCTGCTGCCTCCAGGACTGAGCCGATAGCCAGGACTTTCGTAACGCTACCAACTGTGGCATCCTGCCATGACATGAGGAAAATACAGCCTAATCGAATAGGACTACTACTAACCGAATAATAATAATAATAACAATAATAATTATTATTATTAGAAAGGTTTTTGTTACCTGCTGTTCTGCAGAAGCCACAGTAATTCTGAACATACGAGTTTAGGCTATTTTTGTTTCTGCATAATTTATTCAAAAATGTCTCTCTATTGAAATTCAACTTTAAAAACGCCTCTCCATGTGAAAACATCAACTGATTCTTGCCTCCCACGCTGCACCACAGCCTCAGATTTTAATGCGCTCTTACTATGACGAAGGTTTGAGGATCCACCGCACAATTTCGACAAATATAAGGTTAGTAAAACTGTATACTCATTAAAAAAAAAAATAATAATACAACTGGAGGCTGGTAAGGCGTATCCTTTACTGCGTCACATCTGTTTAAAAGAGGGGAGTTGTACCTCGAATCCAGGTAATATTAATTGTAAATCCAAATTTGCCGTTTGAGGCCGCCAGGATCTAAGACGGATTTATGTGGCAACATAATCAGGCACATGTCTTGTGCTTGGCAGGAAAAAAAATTGTTTCCTTACAGCATTGACCTTTTACAACCAACCTGTTAAAATTTGAATAAAATGTAACTGACCTTCACTGCACCATGAAATGCAAGTTCACTATACCGCAAGCATCATCAATCACTGCAATACAAACTATAAAATTACACAGCGTCACAGTGCTTTGACCATCACAACCACACTGCACTACACGTCTAACACAAGAAATGTCTTCATCACCATTTTGCAATTACACAAACCTGGTAAATCTTTCAGAGTGCCCGGAGAGAACTGCTCTTTTAAAATGTGGTTTTCTGCTTGAAATGATTAGTAGTTGAGGCTCAGCTCTGAAAACCGCGAGAAATCACTTCCTGAAAGCAGTCAATCTAAGCAAGAATCTTCAGAGGAAGGCAGCATCGAGACAAAACATCCCACATGTGCTTACAGTCATATCAACACATTTCAGTATACCCCAGCAGGCTCAGGTTGGAGGTCTGCTGCCAACAGTAAAGAGACATCAGTCGAGGAGTTTATCAAACGTTTTATTGTGAACTCATCACACACACACATCAATCATCTCATTTAGTCTCCAGAGTGTGCTGACTGCTCCATAGTGTTGCCATGTGTGTCCTTACTGCACTGCAGACTCAAAAAGTGCCATAACATGTTGCTCTCTCACCCAAAAGGGTGTCTTGTTCATCAAAGGGACGTCATCGTCGCCAAGTCAAAGTCAGAATCCTTTTAGTTTCCTGGACATGACAGCCCAGACGGCTGCACTCACTCACACCTCCTCTTTCACTGAATACAGGAGTTAGTGTTCAATACAGACATTCAGAGAAATTCAAAGTCTTACACATCCAGACCCCAGACATGGAGTGGAACTGGCCCCGTGGATGAGCACAATGCACAATACAGTGCTTGCTTTGGTAACCATTGACAGCTCCTCCTCCCCAGGTTGTGTTACCTCAGCTTTATCTCCCAGTTTAAGCTCCCCAGGATTGTCAATTTGTGTGCAAATGCATAAACATGTGATAGACATTACTCATATTTGATTCATCAGCAAATGTGCCAAATTGACTTACTGCGGGCTCATTTTGAAAGTAAAGCTGGGGTTTGCGTTCAAACAACTCAGCACTATAGCAACAGTAGCTGAAAAATAAATCTGCCCCCTTCTCTGTTCTGAAAACAGCAAGATGGCTTCTTGTAATGACGAAAGGTCAGTTGTTGTTTTTCTAACAACAGGACGTCCCCTCATTAGTCTCAGAAACAGGATTTGTCATTTGTGTCACCATATTAAACTACTTTATATGTCCCTTCTTCTCTGAATTGTACAATATATTCTAAACATCAGATATGCAATAGATACATGTTTTCAAGTTCAAAAGGAAAAACAAACAAAACACACATGTACATATCTACAAGTACGCAGATGTCACATTGACCTTGTGGTACACCAGCCCTAGTGAAAGGCATGCGGCATGTGCTAAGGCCAAAAAAGTCAAGTCAGCACTGGCTGACAGACGCGGCTTTGATACCAGCATCTGACCGTGCTCATCAAGACAATAGATATATATACACACACACAGCACTTATACAACTCTGCCTCTGCATGATGGACACTTAGTAGTAACGGCATCAATACATTTTTGATGTTCATTTATAAAATGCTTTAAAAATATAAAAACACATTGGATGAAGTGTGTAATGTAGCATAAAATGTTTTATTGCACAGTCTCTTTCTCTGTGTTGTACCTACAGGAGGGGTCAGAGGAGTGAAAGACAGACCCCCCCCCCCACGGCCCAGTAGAGTTTGACACACTCCACATTATTGAACTCTGTGCTGAGGTCTACAGTGATGATCTGTTTCTGTTAGAGCTGCTCAGATAGACAGGTGTTTGCTGCCCTCAGGGAGAAAACAAAAACAACAAGCAAACTAAATCAACTAAAAGTGTGATTCTCATGATGTGAAATGATGATGCATTTCCTTTCTGAAATTCAGAGCTCCAGATCTGTCCTCTGAAACGGCTGCTGAAAACGCCTCCTCTTCAACAGTGAGTGCTAACAGCCTCGGCCCCAACTCTAGGAGCCAGCGGGTGCCCGTCACACGGTGGTGGACTTGTGGCCGCCGCTCTGAGGCACGGAGAGTCGCAGGGCCTCCTCGTCCTCCTCGTCACTGTCGGTGTCCACGAGGTTGGGGCGCAGTCTGACACGACCCCCGCACCTCTGCTGGGTATCCTGGAGGGTGGGGTCCTTGACTCCATCTTCATCGGACGACTGGTAAGACCCATCATCCCCCACGTAGTGATTGACGATGTGGATCCCATCAAAAGCGGACTGGTTGGCCAAGCCCCTCTGTCCTTTTAAGCAGCAAATCTGTGAAAGGAAGCATGATGAGTACTGGGAGCAACGTAAAGTCTGTTTAATCCTGCATGCAAAAACGAGCCAAACACATATGTAACATCTGAGGGAGAAAATAACAACTCACAAATATGACAAACTGTTTAACACAATATGGTAAACTCTTAGGCAGTCAGTGATATATAAACAGTCTCACTGGCACAAATAGAATGAAATGTCTTTAAGCAGACAGTAAAGTAACCAAAAACCAAAAGGGAACAATGTTATGAGGTATAAGCTATGTCCCAATTCCGTACGACACACCAACAGTATACAGCAAGCAACAGAAACTAAGTTAGATAGAACACTGTTTTTGTAGTCAGTGTACAAGAAATGGATATCATACACCATTCTGTACTAACAGGAAGTTATACATGAAATGCAACAACAAACAACTTTGTAGTTAGGGTGAAACTTAAGAGAAAACAAAATAGTTCTGCAAAGATTCACTCAGATATTTCATTGTTTTAATTTTCTTTCCAGATATATAGCTCTGCCATTTCTGTTGTTCATGACATGGTAGGTGAACAGTGTCTGCACACTGACATCTTTGGAGAGTATTTTTCATTTTGTCCCTTACTAGAATCAGTGTGTCGTATGGATTTTGGACAAAGCTCTAATTTCTTCATGGGTGAGGGATAGCTCCATTTGGGACTGTGTGGAAAGCTTTATGGGAATGGCTGCTGTTCATCACAGTTGGGAAGTTAACTCAACATATATTTGCCAAACCACCCTGCCAGTCCTCATCCGCTAAGTAGTTTATCTTGTAAAACCAAAACACTTGATGCAGCATAAATCTCACTGTTATGTGGCTTTGTCTAGTACATTTTTAAGTATTGTCCATCATCTACTTTGCCTCTTTCTGTAGCACCAAGCAGGAATAGGCTAACTGCCCCTAGTGTTGCAGATAGGGGAAAACACATGTTGTATTACTTTTAAACTCCGGCTATGTAAAATACGTGGACGTAGCCACCGTTACGTCACGCCGTTTGTGGACTGCTGTTTTTGGGCCTTGAGTTTGGCATTTTGGTTTTCTACGAATCAATCAGCCACAAGGCAGAAGTAATGAGACAATTCAGGCTCCACTCAAAAGACACATTTTGACAAACCATGCAAAGATTTATCTAAAGTGTTTTCTCACAAATGTTTTGGTTTTACAAGTGAAAAGATGAAAAGGATGAGGATCAACAGGTTGGTGTGACCAATGTACATCAGGCTACCTTCCCATCCTAAAATGTAGAGCAGCGGATAGGAGCAAGCATCCAGGACGGCCTCCCAAGCTGTGAATTACACAATCCCAAACGGGGCTAAAGTAGGGGCTGCAAAATGTTCAGGTTCAAACCAGTGGAGGTTACGTGGCACATCTGTACCAACTCACCTGAGTCGGCCTGCCATACAACAGAGAGACATGTAGGAAGAGACGCATTCAGAGGCCAGTTCAGAGCACAACACACAATAAACTATACAACAAAAATAAGCCTGTGTATACTTACACCTCTCTAAACTTAGCAGTCTGCCTTCTCATTCTTGCTATGCAAAAAATAAATTGTGATCTGATTAACATCTGACTGGCTACAGGTCAGATGTTCCAGGTTTGCTCACTGCAGACACTTGACTTTGCACGATTCATAGCACACCATTCTTAACCCAAGACGACCACCTGCCAAAACCAAGTGAGAGGGGAAATGACTGTGACAGCACTGCCTTCATATAGAGTTATAATGAGCTAATGCATGCAGCTCAATTTAACCACAATTCACGTTGTTCTTGCTTGGTTTGATTCAGGAAAGACACAGATGTCAAGATGTGATATTTGTTCTGTAAATAACTGATCTGAAAGTCAACAAGGGCCTTCATCTGCAGTATTTTAAGCTCTAAATGTACAGCCATCCATGTTATCTTTATGTAGGCGTGGAAAAACCTTCTTGTAGAAACATCTACAGCTTACGTCTTTTGAGGGTATCTGCAAGATGTGTGCAGTGTCAACTCCGCACAGGAAGTCTCTGGGTGTAGTTAACACTTCCACTAATCTGTTAGCCTCAAAGTAAAATCATATCTGAGAGAATGTTCTGAACTCTTCTGAAATGCTACATCAAAGACACTGCAACAACAAAATCTGAATCTCTACAAGGAAAAAAAGTTGCAATACATGCGAATACTAACAAGCCCAATTTTATAAGTCACACCTCGTCTTTTAGCTCTGCTATCTGATCTTTGAGGTCACGGATGTACTGGCTCGAGTCTGTGTGGTTCAGCTGGCCTTGGACCTTCCCTTCTTCTTTCTGTTGGTAGAAGAAACAAGAGTTTTAAAATGAGCTACAGCACTCAGTGGTACAGGTGGCTTTCCTAAATACTGAGAAAGATGAACAAATATTTTAGCATCTGCAGAGCGAAGTGATTAAACTTGGAGCTAAATGATATGTTCAGCAAACAAAACACCCAGGGATATTAATTGTTGTGAACTTCTGCACAGGCAGGACATACCAGAGCCCCGCTGCTAAAAAAGCAGCATCACAATGTGCCCTCCTTGTGTGGCGGGTGACAGATGTCAGGGGAAACACAAAACACTGTCATTTGTGCTTGATTTCCTCCTGGGGCCCTAGGGATGAGCCTGGTTGTTAGCTTTAACAGTTAAAACAGCCCATGTGATGTTTACCTTCCTCAGTGAAGACATCTGCAGGCATTAAAGACAAACACGTACTCTATTTCAAACCTCAATCACACCCTTGAACCTGCCAGTTCAACAGTGAGACCAGTGAAGGGCGCACAGAGGATTTCAGACCACAGGCTGCAGCGCGGGAACACAGAGTTAAAAAAAAGAACAAACAAAAAGGGACCTCTGCTACATACACAGCACACAACAGGGGTGGGGCGGCGAGATACAGAGGTGACACTGAGTCTTCTAAGGCTGGCCAACACCCCAAAATACAGATAGGATTTTTGATTCCTGTGGTAAGGTGGGGTTGAATATGGCGGGTCCCAGTAGGCTTTTTTTTCTCACAAGGAGTAGTCTAAAGAAGTGAGATTATTCCAAGAATATGTTGTTTTTGAGGTTTCGCTGCTCCAAAACACTGTAACGATATGGGGCAGGCAGTTAATGACACTTCCTCGTGTTCAGCTGTGTGAATCAACAGGTGTCAGGCTGTGGCCGGGGGGGATGTAAAACGTCTCACAGAAATGTCTTCCTCACATTCCTGCACCCTCAAAGTTTGAGTCTGAACTTTGTTTAGGTCTAACAGAACAGCAATAGTAGGAAGGGGTGTGTGTGTGTGTGTGTGTGTGTGTGTGTGTGTGTGTGTGTGTGTGTGGGGGGGGGGGGGGGGGGGGTCAACTACTTATAATAACATAGAAAGTTGTTTACTGTACCAAAAGCAGCGATGTAAGCAGCTGATAATCTGGCACATCATCCTTTGTTCACAACAAACATTATCATCACATCTTGAGCGAGATAAATCATAGGTCATACAAGAAATACCCACAAATTGCACTGGAATTTCATCTGACAGCGTGCGTTATTCTCAGTCAGCACCATCACAGTATTTTTACACTTTCTTTGTGGCAATGACAAATAGCTTATTTTGAATCCACAAAGGCGTCTGCGAAGGATGTGTGACAACGTATGATTCCAAGTGCCATGAGGTACATTTACACTGCAGTCCAGATGTGTGTCATAGTTTACTATTTACTGAGACATCTGGAAGCTTATTATTCATCTCACACAAGTTAAAGATACATGTTCCCCAGTCTATGGACAAATACAGAGTAAACATGAGAATACCCTTTACAGGCAAAAACATTTAGTATAAATCTCTGAGCAGTGTCATAGAAACCTCAAAATAAACCATGCATGTCACCTTTGGTAGAGTCTCTGCTTCAAGATGAGAAACCACTTCCTATCAGCCCAGAGACAGTGGAGCTGTGGCATTAAACAGAGGCCATGACTGTGGTAGTGAAAGAGTCCTCACACATAAACCTTTCTAGACATCTTAGTTTCAGTGACATGTTTCCCATCTTTGCTCAGTGGTGGTTATCATACATTTGTATCTGTCCATTCAATCTCTGCAGGATTATCAGTCTTGTTACCAAAGGACGATAAGGTCCACATCACCTTTCATGTTCAAAGTCTCTGGCTCTTTATTGATATCTGCCGCTGCTCTGTCTTCTACACTCAGTATTTAGACTCAGACCAAGCCAATGTGATCATACAGTGACCTCTCGCATCGTAACAAAAGCTGAAAAATGTCCCCAACCAACATGCGTCACCTCATCTCTTACAAGGAAGACCAAAAACTGATGTTGATGATTTTTTCTTTCCCATTTCTTGTAATTGAAGCTGCTTTTACCCACAGCCTATAGAGCAAGTAACCAAACCACAGACCAAGAAGCTGGCACTAACACAGTGATTTCAGCTACAACAGAGGTTAGATTTAATACCCTGCGCCTGATAAAAAAAATAATAATAATAAAAATCTCAATGTGTAAGCAACCTCTGCAACACAGTTTCTAGACGCTGGTGATAAAATAAGAAAACAAGGTGTAAATAAAGTCTACAGCTTCTGCATGTTATTGGCATACTCAACTGAGAGTTCATTATGCAGATTCTGCAAAGTATGAGGGCGGTAGTGGTAAATTTCTGGTGTTGCATGTTTTTTCTCTATCACTTAGTAACAAAACCTCAGACCACACTGCGTGATTGTGTATGCCTGTGAAGGGGAAGGGGGGGGAGGGGTTTTTGTAGGTGTCATACTTATAAATAGTCCTTATAATCTAAAACACCTTAAACTTAGGAATAAATTTACAACAGTACTTTACAAAGTCTAATCAACTGTTTCCAAACAGAGCTGCCTGTACCTCAAGTCAAACATGACCAACACTTTTCATTTTCAAACTTAAGCAACTTGCAAGCACTTTGTAAATGTTTATAACACTATAATTGTGGTTGTACGCTGATATTAGGATATCTTAAGTGTTTATCAATGTACAGTATTTGTCAACAGTCATAACTCCTCCTGAAGACATATACCACTGTGTTTTACTATATGGCCATTCATTTTCTTTATACACCAGCCTCCCCGACTTAAATAAACACTTACCTGCTTACATCTACAATAAAGTCTGATATTAACCATTTATTACATCTTTAATATGCTTATAAATGCTTATAAAACAGTCTTCCCACTGAATGGATCAATAAATACTATTCACACTATATTAATCAATTTTTGCAATACTTCTGATATTAATACTATATCAGTGTGAAATGGTTCTTAGTACTGCTGAGAATCAACACACTGCTGTTTTTGGGCAGCTACAGCTCATAGTTAGTTATTTGCTTGGTGAGCAGTTTCATAATAGTTCTACCCCAGCAGATAAACACAGTGCATCATCCCCACAGCCTTTTCTCTGCTGTCCAATCAGAGCGTACAGATGACCCTGAGGAGCTTAGCAACATCAATTAAAAAAAAGGCTAGAAGTTCTTGCAGGAGCAATAGTATGGCATTTTTCACAATTATTTTTCTTTACACTAGATTTTGTTTATTGCCCGAATGTGGCTGTTGACAGATATCATGAGTAGTGATGATGTGTTGCCTAGCAACAGCAAAATCCTTCTCACTGCAAAAAAACGTCAATCGGATCAAGAATACTGTACAAGGGAAACATAGCAGCCTGCCTGGCTTTTTAGGAATCCAGAGAGTGCTGGACAAGGCTGGGATATCCGGATGTGGAAGTACTTAACAAAGCACTTGTTGTTCAGAGTCTATTACAAAGATTTGGGGAAAACGGCAGTATGTGCAAAGCCATACAGACCATCCACATAGACTTAGGCCTTAAAGATGTAACTGCCACTAAACGTGCCTCTGGTAAGTACTGACTCGATCCATTTTTAGAGTTACTTTCCACAGCACACTGTATGCACATATGCACTGTGTCAGACACTGACTCATTTAAGACAAAACTGGTTTTAAGCAACCTGCTCAAGTTAACATTGAAACAATTCCAAAAAAGCAAAAAAGGCTACATGTAAAATGGTCATATTTCTGACAACATAGACTATTTATAGACCTGGACAAGTTTTACTTAACAAGAAATCAATGATCAATCTAATGTCCAGTCATCTGCCCGCTGTTCATAACATAGCTTCACTCATATTAAGTGTTGAGGCCACAAACAATTTAGGACTGTTTTTAAGATCAAGTGTATCTGTGTGATCAATCAGAACTGTTAAATGTTGGCAGTTAAAGAACAGGCCTTTATTTGTTTTGGTCACCCTTGTTGTGTGTAGCATTACATTTGTTTGGAGATAAATACTCCTTTCTTCACTCTTGCATGTTGAAACTGGGATTCATTTGGTGAGTATGTTTATATGCAAGTTTGCGCAGCGTCATTAAATGTCTGTGTCGGAATTTTTGTGCTTTAATAACAGCTCTATAATAAGCTGCGTTTACATCTTGAATTTGCATAAAAAGAGATAAATCATTTCAAGCCTCTGGAATACAAAAAAATATATATCATCTGTTTTTGCAGAGCACCTCCAGATTATCTTTGTTGATCACATATTAAATCCTCTTGTCATACAGATTTAAGGTTCAGAATATCTGCGGAAAAAAGTTCTGATTTGAGGTGGAACCTGAAAGCCTGATCTTGACTATTTCTCTACATATTCATGATTAAATGAGCAAAGTTAAAAAACAAACAAAAAAACCTCTGCTAATCTGGGTCATCAGGACTGCGTGGGTGTGGTTTGATCTGATTTGATTGACACAGGTGTCTCCTTGGCAACATCAGCAAAGAACACATCAACTGCTATCAGATTCACCTTCTTAAATTAGAAAATTCTGACTGGTGGATGAAAATCTGTGACAGAACTCAGACTGAACTCAGACTGAACCACAAATGCAGAAATCTGTCATTTGAAATAACCACTATAGTTTCAACTCTGGTAAACAATGTTTATGTGAGGAATGAAAATAAGAATCTAACTCAGGTTTGTCACGATACACATGAGACATTTCTCTCCATGTCTGAAGGAAGTTTAAATATGTTAAATGTGGTTTGTGAAGGAGTTAAAAGCTTGATGCAGAGGCAGGAGTGTGATGTTACAGGGCAAGTGTGTTGGGACTTCACCTGAATCTCAAGCTCTGAGATCTGTTGCTGGAGTTCAGCCATAGCAGCAAAGTTGTCGGCTTCCCGCAGCCTCACTGCCATCACCTCTTCCTTACTCTGCAGAAAAAGAAAAAGGAGCAAAAGAAGACGTTATTTCAACAACAGTTATACCAAAGCCCCCGGGGGAGGCGTGACGCTGAATGGCCAGTATGAAAACATGTATTTTTACAACATTTGTGTATTTTCTATTTGTGTATGTGTGAAATTGCAGTGGGGAATTCCTGAGATGGGGAGTGTTACTGCGCTAGATACAGCAGCTGAACAGTAATCTTGCAGCATCAGTAGACCCATCAGAATGAAACACTATCACTGACAACAAGTCGCTTTCTCCTTCTTTTTTTGGATACCAACCTCATCAGCAAGCAACAGACCGAACAAAACTGATTTTCAAGCTCAAGAGAAAAGACTTTAGATTATGCCACAACAGAGCTGTAGTGGTTTGTCCCCTTGCACACAGTGCAGAGTGTTGCAGATCAGTAGCAGAGTTTTACCTTGCATTCAATCTCAGCTTGTCTCCGCTTGATCTCTTGCAGTTGCACATGCAGGTCTTTATTTTGCACTGTCAGTGTTTGCACGCTCTCCTGGAGACAGCGGCTCTCCTGCTCTGCCCGTCGCAGCTGGTTACTGTGAATCTGATTCTGTGCATGGAAAGGGGTACATAAACAAACAACAATATTATTTTTACTTTGATAAATGATCAGTTCTATCCAAACCAGCACTGCTTTAAACTTACACAAGTTTCTGAGTTGTTGACTGCTGCCCTCTGAAGGACACTGTGCCACAATGCAAATATATAATTTACTTCTATTCCAGCACATTTGTTTATGTAGATCCACAATACTTAGTAAGAGTCCATATTAGTGTATACCTTCAATTTCCTGGGATTCATTTTTGAATTTTTAATCACAAGGACAGAAAATCTCAAAGGCAGGACAAAATGTTACTGTGTCTGGACAGCTGGTGTGACCTCTGACCTGTGTCTCCAGCTCCAGCATCCTCTGCCGTGTCTCTCGCAGCTCTGCCTGGGCCTCGGCCTCGCGCAGCCTCACACTCATCAGCTCGTCCTGCAGCTCACTCAAGGTGTTCTTCCTGGGGCTGTCCTTCCAGCGACCAGCCGTGCGTGCCAAGTGACGCTGAGGAGACGTGTTATAATCAGTCACCTTTCCATGACTTAAACGAATAGAGTGGCATTAAAACGTTCCATTTTTCCGTCTCCATTTCACAGACATCTTGCACTTTGAAGAAATGTCAGACAAAGATAATGTACTGATCAAACTGTCCTGCTGAAATGTTGGATCTCACCTGCCAGTGCTCTTCCAGGTCTCTGACTTGCTGTCTCAGCTCTTTCAGACCGGTCAGAGCCTCCGCCTCTCTCAGCTTCACTCCTATCAGTTCCTCCTGAAGACGCGCCACATTGGTGTCATCTGGTAGTGACGCGTTCCTCTAAGGAAGGTGTGCAAAAAATGTTTAAAACAGAAGAAATAGGTGTTACAGTGATGTAGCCACTTAATAAGTATGTTGGCTAAGATTTAGACAATACATAATGTCTGGGGCAGCACACCTTTTCCACATCCAGGATCTTGTCTTGCATCTCCTTGAGAGCACACTGAGACTCTGCTTCCTTCAGCCGGGCCTGCACGAGCTCTCTCTCCAGCTGCAGGACAGACTCCTCAGAATACCGAGGGGCTCCCTTCTACAACAGGACATGTGCGTGAGCACAGACAGCAAAGCAAAGCTATAAAATATCGCCGTCTGTGTGTCCTCAATGGTGCATTTAATGAAGAACAAAATATTCAACCTCAGCAAGTAATGTAGACCAGTGTCCAAAAATAATTCTAGTCGATTAAAAAGGCTTAGCTAAAATTATATTTATTCTTTCAGAAGAAGATATGTCTCTTCACCCTCCACTGCAAAGACTTAAACATTAATTTCAGCTGACATCCACCATTTTGCCTTTCGCTTTCACATAAATCATTTATGACTGCTCATTGTGAAGCAAGATAGCAAATTATGTAAAACATTGTAATGCCTGCACATTATCATCTGGGACCAACCATCAATAATTAAGAATAGTAGGTCAATACATATGCAACGAGAGGATTCTGTGAACAGGGTGCCATGTGTGAAATCTGCCAACCTGTGACACAACTGCTTACAAATTCATGAATGCATTTCTGAGAATGCAGAAGACTGTAAACGGTGGCTCAACTGTGTGGTACTCCATGTCCCTATTTGAATTCATGCATGCCAAAACAGATCATTACCCAAAGCTGATGTGCAAAGTGAGAAAAGCCTTGCACTGCCACTGCTTGGATTTTGTAGCTAGGCAACAAAGTGCCAACTGGGCGGGGTCACAGATAACCGTGACCCAGCTGATCTCTAGTAGAACATTTTTACTGGCCAAGTCAGTCCTAGCACACCTCATAATCTTGAAATGGTCAGCACAAACTGATCTGGGAAACATCCCAGTGACTCGGCTCCTGTCACAGACTGGGCAGGACCTGAGCCAGAGGCCCTCTGAGGCCCTCCTTACCGCGTGTGGCTGCTGCTGCTGCTGGAGCTGCCTGATGGTTTTCTTGGCCTGCTCCAGCTGAGCACCGGCCTCCTCGCTCTGCTGTTTGACTGTGGCCAGCTCCCGCTTGACCAGGTAGTTCTCCTCTGCCTCCTGAGCTCGAGTCACTTGTCCCTTGGGACATAACCAACCGAGGAGGGGTGGAGTGAGCACGACAAGAAGTGAAACGAGAGGGCGGAATGGATGGGCAAATCAGAAGTGAAGATGAGGGATTGGGTTTTTCTAAGGACATGCTTGTTTTAGCTATAGCAACGTGTGATATACTTGAATTCTTTAGCTTTCGTTTGCACGATCTGTGATTCTCTCACTTTGTCTGCCACAATGTGGTTTTTCATGCACTTATTCAACACCGTGATCAGTTCTAATAATCTGGTTTAGTTCTTAATTCAGAGAATCATCATCAGCATTATTACTGTGTCCTTCATTACGCTAATCATAAGCATGCAATGCTAAAGAGAGAAGGAAGAAGGAAGGTGCAACATAGGTAATACGGGTAAAGAGAAAATGAGGAATATACCTGGATCAATCTATCTGCCAAGGAAGCACTTTCCTACAAAAACAGAAATATCAACAAGAGACAGCAGAGAGAGACAATCCAGAGGACAGTTTAAAGCACACAAAAGAACAATTGATTGTTTTAGAGAAGAAATGCAATGTTCATTTCCCCACCAGAAATATTTTGTTTACAGGCTGTACAATGGTGTTTGCATTCAGGGGTAGAAAAGGAACATTGCATGCAGGTGTGGTGAGACAGGGGCAAATGAGCTGGTGAGAAAGTGAAAAATCAGCCGGTGCTGATAACACAGTGACAGGTTTCGAACAGGAAGAAGCGCAGGACAGCTCTACCTATAGGAGAGAGCGACGTATAATACAACAGCACAGTAACAGTGTTAAGGAACTACATGTTGTTTAACTGAACAGAAGCTCTGGGCTTTGATGCGGTTCATCCAAGCTTTTGAACAGTTTGAGTTAGTGAAAAGTTAAAAGGTCCTGGGAGTTACGTGACAGAGACATGTGAGAGAGCGGCAGCCTCGAGATGGGTTTAAATAACGGACTCGATCAGACCACAGTGCTCCTGCCCGCAAGCAAACGGGCGTAGCGGACACCCATGCTATCCATGGCAGACCTCATGCATGGTGCCTTTACCTGGCAGCAGTAGTGCCCATTCAAAGAGCCACAAAAAGGTACAGAATGATACAAACAGTGCAACGTGGCATGCAGTGCTTTGTATCGACCTGAAACAATACCAAGCAGCCACTTTCACATTCCAAACAGGCGTGTTACGGTCTCTGCTTCAGTTAGTGGTGTCTGGTGAAATTTTAAATTCACAGCACAAGTCATTTGGGCCACACAGACAGTCACCATGACACCAAGACGACTCCAAGTCCAAATCTGGCTTCTATTTCTGATAGTAAGCAATCAGAAAATTCACCACACTGTACCGGACCAGTGATGGTTTATCATGTGAATGGAAGACTTTCAACCAACACAGCGCAGTTAGTGAAAGACGAGACTCCATCATTAGGAGGAGATGCATGATGTATGAGCATACACATCTGAATGGGTTAATGTAATGTTGTTGAGCAGGGAGCGGTGTCTGATTGGTTTGCCTGGTGACGCAGCACCTGTGACAACCACTGATGCACTTACTTTCTCTAGTGTGTCTATCCTTTGCTTCAGGAGCCGGTTCTCTGTCCGCAGCCTCTGCAAAGCAAGAAAATGCCATGAAACAAAACACAACAGGATACACACAGTGGAGACTTCAGGACACTCACAACACTCAACAATTGTCACACCTTTATCTCCACCTGCTCCTCCATCTCCTTAGTTTTGATTGTAGTGTAATCTTTCTCTAACCTGAAAATATTTCACAGACAATCGATGAAGACAAGAATATTATTGTCGCTCAGCAAATTAAGACATAATACAATTTGTGTAGAGTGAGCTGTGGGACTGAAAAAGAGAGCAGCAATAAAAACAGGGCCAAAGAAACAACTTGTTTTCCACGCCTGTCAATATGTTAGAGATTTTGAAAAATATTCAATGTTCAATTGATAAACTATTATTTAATTCTTTATATTTAAGTGCTAGTGTAACCCAGAGAGGCTTGCAAAAATAAGTTTGTTTACAGGCAAACAACATTTGAAGAATAAAGTTTCCAAAAATATTTACTTGGGTTTAAAGAATTTTTTCCTTTTTAAAATAGTAATTATTTTCGCTATAATCACTACCAAATGGTGTGGTTATTTCTGGTAAACTCCCTAGGAAAGTTTTATGAAATTGCAGATTTATTAAGTGTTAACTAATAGAAAATACTAACTTAACATTGAAAATTTAAAATAATAAAAAAAATAATAATAAGACAAAAAAAAATCACAACATATACAGGTCTTGTAAGCTTAATAAAGAATAACAATGTGTGAAAAATACAACAAGTAGGCTAAATCTCATGAGTCTCTAATACAAATGTTCAACATCACAAAATCAGTAGAGGCTGCCGTACAATTCTTGCAGTCATGGCTGAAAATGTCACAAGTTGCAGTGAGAGACCCTACCACAATGTGATGTACTTTTCCAGGTGTAAAAATAAATGCTTCAACAAAAGGAGAGGTTGGTGAGTGTTGATGAACTGAGAGTTGGGCTTACTTTTTCATCTTCTTGGCGTTGTATTTAACTTGATAAGCAGCCTGGATGACCTTATCTGGTCCACTGTCGATCTGGAGTGGGATGACCCTCTGAAAGTGCTGGATGGGGCACAGCAAGGAAACAGAGGCAGGGTAAGTGCTGCACACTCACAAACCAACTTTCACACAACTATGCACTCTGATGCATTAGTCAGGTGTTTCTCTGACCACATGGCACTACAGCAAATGTCAGCACGTACACAGGTACAAGTCAGGAGGACACATGTATCAATTATCTGGGTGTGGTGGAGGTTCCTTCCCTGAGGGTGCTTCACATTTTGCACCAGAAATCTGAGCTGTTTTAATGACAAGTTATGTGGAGGTTATGGTGATATATACCTGTAACATTCCCTCCATGTCGAGCTGGATGAGTTCAGTCTGGTTCATCTGAAGGATGGCCAGTCCCACACGGAAAACTATCTCCAGGCCCTGAAGAAACAGATCACCAGTTATCACTGAGGAGTCATGTTTTGAAAGAAAAACATGGTTGGTGTGCAGTGAAATGGATTTTTCAAATGGATTGAGAATTAAAAATGTGTTACAACAGGTCTCAAGGGAGTGGGGAAACAACTCACACTAAGTCATTTAATGTGGGGTGTGGTGTTTGTTTTCTCCAACAGGGGGCGCTAATGGATAATCTTTCCATAACATTTAATCTGTATATTATATGTAGCCATTCTTAAAGCAGTAGAAGCAACCTTGCAGTGCAACAGCAGGACAATGTTCAACAATCAGACCACAAACATCAGAAAGAACAGAAAGTACAAAAGTGCACGAGTGAAAGACGAAGCTCTGAGAGTACTTCTTCTAAAGAGTGAACACAAGAGTAAAGTAGATCCAGGATCTCAGTTCCTTTTAACTGACCTCACACATGAAGATGTCAAAGATCCTTGTGGCGACGGGCAGGGGGAAAGAGGTGAGGAAGATGGTGAGGAACCAGGAAGAGGCATACATGGAAGTATGAAAGCTCTGAGCTTGGAAATGCATATACAGCTCCGGGAGTTGCTCCTGTGAGGCGAAATTCATATGCATTTACACTATTACCACTCTACACAGTTACATTTTGACAAACTGTCATCGCCCCTCACCACGGTCTTACTACCAAGTATGAGGTGTCTACCTGGATCATATACTCAAACTGGTACATGCAGAGTCCCAGCTCGGCCATACTGGGTTTGAAGAGCTCTCGTAATCTGTAGTCTTGCATCAACTTCACAAACACACAGAAAGCCTCCTCTTCTGGCATCTAGAAAAATAACAGGATGAAATCAGACCTCAAATCTGTCTTTCAGTAAAACATGTCAAACTATTTGCTTGAAGCTGGTCAATCACTGTGTTTGTTTGTGTGGTGTGTGTGTGGTGAAGTGGGATTATTACCTGCATGAGCAGCAGTCCTACAATGAATGCACTCCCTTGACAATAGCCAACCTCACGGTCAACCAGAGAATATGCCTGAGGTAACAGTGATTAGCTTTGGATGAGTTTCAGTGATGGTCAAGAGAGCACAAATTTCTGCCAGCGTCAAAGCTGTACACACTTTTCATAGTAGATTTACTCCACTAACAGGATTTACCCTGAAACTTTTGCTAAAACTTTTATGTTATCTGTACACATTATTATCAGTTTATCTGCATACAATCAGGCTCCTCCAACACAAATGGAGACTCACCTTCATGACATTGAAGAGCACTTCCTGGCCCAAGCTGTCTTTCTCCTTGAAGAATTCGTGTTCAGGATAAGTGCGGGCGATGTCTCTGCGAATCAGCTTCTCGCAGGGCGACGTCATCTTCAGGAGTTCCGAGTACTGATCCTTGATGGGCATATTCTGGGCGTTGCACAACAGCTGCCACACTATTGCCCTAAAGTGGTGGGGAATCCCTTTTCTGACAAGATCCTGTGGAAAAAGAAAAGAAACTTCATGAAATTTATCTAGCTGAAGCCATTAATGAGAAATTGAAATGGGAACTTGGGGACTGTCTTTAGTTCATTTGTGACTATGGCCAACAGTGTAGGAAAAAACATCGGCTTCCTGTGGAGAAAAAGACACTTGCACAACAAGATACAGACAACCATGGACATGCTCTGTGCTCTAATATCTGTTTTCAAATTTCAGCACAGTGTGCATCTCATAATTATACAATTTCCACTGCCAAATATAATCTTGTCAGTGAGGCACTTTGTAGAGTGATTTTCCCCCATATATTACTGCTGACACAATTTGATTTAAGATATTTCCTGTGCTGACGAGGAACACTGGACTTCCCCTGCTGTGATTGGATCGTGTGTGCGTGTGCATCTGGTCAGTCCAGGGTGCATCTGGAGCAGAGTTCCACCCACACAGGGTTTCAGCAGGGAATCCCTCTCCCCTCTCAAAGGTTAGAGAAGACAAACCAAGCTTTGTACTGGAACAATGCACCGTCTCATATCTTGACTGTATCTGAACGAAAGCTTCTTTCTGTGGCGCACCACTACTTTAACCACCCTTTTCTATTTCAACTACGTAATGCTTGGTGACAAGCTCCCACATAGATATCATGTAAATCATCTATGATTTCAATGTTCGTTGCTTTTCAGAACTTCCTTGGTATAGAAATATTTCAACATCTCATTTACATTTAAGCAGAATTACTTTAAACAAAATGTAGTTCTCTTCAGCAGTAGTGGGTCTCGATGAACTACACAGTATTGAAAACATGAACACATCAGGGGTTTTGCTGACAAAGACAAAAAAAGTCAAGGTTCCTTCTTTCATGCAACAGAAACTGGGTTTCTCTGCAAGCTATGGGGAAGAAAACGTACATTTTGTGGAGGCCTCAGCAGTTATGATTAATATCCCAGGGTAGTTGCAAAAACCCAGTCATTACAACTTCTGTTAAATTACATAACACCCGTGGATGTTCACAGGTCCTTCACAACACTTCCCCATTTACACACGCAAAGTCAACAGAAACCCTTTTAACAGCTTTAAATGTTACCATGACTGAACAATAAATCCAGGACCAAAAACATGCTCCCTGTTGTAGTGCAAAAATCATCTAGTAATGGTTTGAGGAGCGTTCAGATGAAATGACATTAATGACCTTGTCACCATAAGCAATCGCACGTTCAGACCTAAAGTTGCAGCTGCACCAAGCAGTTTTACATTAGGAAACTGCAAGTGCCTTGCTTAGTTCCTGCCATTAGATTGTTATCCAACAAAGTACTGACAGGTTTAAAACAAACTGCCATAGTCAGTGACTGTGCATAGGGTAACCGTAGAAACAAGGAATCTAAAATTAGCTTCAAAATGTCGAGAACTAAAATAACAAGTTCAAGGACAACGCTACAGGGTCACAAAGATAGCCTTAGAAATTATTTTTGGACCAAGTAAACATTCAAACAGATAGGGCCATTGTAGCATTCAGGCCAGAGCTCAGTACAAATCACTATATTTTTTCTATTAAGATATTTATCTTGATGAGGAAAACAGATTGAAAAAATAATAACTTAATTTTACTAAGATTAAAGATTTTATCATTATAATTGTTTTTAATTTTCTGCTTCACATTTGTGAAGTGATCCACTGTTTGGCATCAAGTGTTTGTTCTGACCAGAAAGTTGAGAAAGAAATTCTCAATCGCTAGTTTCAAGTCTTCTTCAATACAACATGATGTTCATTTAGTAAAGTATGGTAAGTAAGTAAGATTATGCTTAAAGGCGGGATCAACCGTGATTGACAAGTCGTTACCATGGCGACCTGTCAATCAGGCTAGAGTGACCTGATTGGCACTGTGTAAATTTAACCAGCCTGTTGTTAGCTAGAAAAAAAAAAACACCTGGTGCACCTAGCTAAGCAAGCTAGTTAGCTCCACAAATGGCTGTTCGCTCCACTGTCTCATCGAAATATGGCCATGTCTGGTGCCGCTAGTTGGAAAAGATCAACATGGTGGCGCCCTAATGGCCAAACTCGAGGCTTCAAAACGGTAGTCCACAAACGGGTGATGTCACGATGACTATGTCCACTTCTTATATATAGTCTATGGATTCGACATTTATCCTGATAATTATAGATTGATATTAAAAATTTTATCTTGATAACATTTTTGGCCATATCGCCCAGCCCTACGTGTAGCCTATATTTTAACTTTCTGATAAAGCCATTTCCATCCACAAGCGCTTTTGTTGGAGCTCCTGTCTCTTTGTTTGGAGACTGGAATACTGTTATTCTTGTCAAATGGGCAATTATCAAAAATGCAAACAAATGAATGTCTAAAAAAATACATTTATAAAATTACAGCGCCCTGATGCCTTAACCTCGTCTTCGACAGGTCAAATATGTCTCAGTAAGCTCTTAATGCAGTCGCGTTTCAGAAAGCTCTTAAGCAGGTCTGCACGAGACTAAGCTGCCTCTTCACAGGTGTTCATGTGCACTACTCTCACCTTAAGCTGCTTCTCCTTCTTCTTGCGCACATCCTCCCACTCATTGACGATCCGTCCCCACAGGATCCACGTGTCCTCCTCCAGGTGGGAGAGGTTGGAGGAGGCGGAGGAGCTGGACACTAGGGAGGAGCCACTGTTTCGCCTGGAGCCATTCATGGAGCGCAGCGACTTGCTGTCTGTCTCCAGCAGCCTGTAGAGAAGGTGAGAGTTAGGATGGACTGTTAACAGTGTGTACAGACACAACAACATTTTTAAATCCTAAATTGCTCCAGAGGGGTGCGACCTCTGATATATATAGCAATTGTAAGTTGCTTTTGGATAAAAGCGTCAGCTAAACGACTATTATAATAATTATGGATTAAACTTTATAACTGAATTAAAATGTCTCTTCTCAACTGACACTGATCTGAATGTTTTGTTCAGACGCAATTTGGTAAAGTTTTTCTAGCTTCTGCTTAAGTAACATATGTAAGCTCCAAAGTGTATATTGTTGTAGGCTTTCACCACTTACTTGTTGTATTATTGTCCCTGTTGATGCTTTGTATCAGCAAAAATATAAGGACTTCAACCAATGCAACAACAGGCAGACCACACATTCTGAAGGAAAGTATGTCAAACTGACATCTTTATGACACAAGCATGTGAGTCTTCGAATAGGGTTGGGCAACGTCTACAAAATTAGCATCGGATGATGTCTACAATGAATAATCGGGATGGACAATGACATCAGGTGGGGGGTGGGTAGCGGTCATGTTATAAAGGCACGTGTTTCCCACACATAGACGTCACCTGGTTAAATACTTTGTATTACATCACAAGACGCAGCGGAGACTGTGGATATTTTCTAAGCATGGTCAGGTAAAGCAACAGTGCAGATGTTATTTGGCACCACGTTGTTTTCGTTTCCATCGTTTGTTATGTTAAGTCATTAACAAGGCGGTATGCGGCGCACTTGCTGCAGTGAAATCGGAACGCAGTTGGAAAAATCTGATAAAAAAAGACGAGTTCTGTGTTTTTTTTCGCGACTTTATAAAACATACTGCAGATGGAGAAAGTCAGCGGAGCAGACACATATGGGGAGGAGGGGGGGTACAATCACGACGACAGCTCAACACTGTGATGTCTGCAGCCGTGGGCAATGCATGATGGCATCGTCTATCGGCCCAACCCTGTACGATGCAAAGCCATCTCAAAAAAAAAAAAAAAAGTCAGTCCTAGTGAGGGCGTCTTGGTGGCATAGTGGTAAATATGCAGAACAACTACCCTCGGTTTGATTTTTGCTGGGGACCATTGTTGCGTGTCCTATCCCCCTCTCTCCCTAGGTTTCCTACCTGTCACTATACCAGTGGTTCTCAAACATTTTCCAGTTTGAAACTGAATCAGCTATACATTGAGCAAAGAGAACCACCACATAGTTTAAAATTGTGTAAAAGAGAATTTATTTTCACAGTAAAACAATTACACATCCAGGATGTGCCGAGCCTTACTGACATCCAAACAAGAGCTAGTAGTACTGATTGCATTGCTTTCCCCTCACCAAACCTCTAGACCACAACTCCACTACAAAATTTGAAAAGAAATAAAAATGCAAAAACATACTGTACATTTCCAGACATACTTGGATGTGTAATACGAGTCCTCAAACTCTGCTAAATCTAGAATCAGTGCCAGACAATTTGTAAGCAGAGATTCAGGCAAACCGCATTAACACCAGTGTTAAAATTAAAGCCACCCACATTTCTAGAGCAGTGCAAAAAAATGGAGAGCTTATTCAAAAAATAAACTTTGCATTGATGTATTACAACTTCATGACAGTAAAATAACCCACTGCATCACAGTCGCGGCCTTATAATTGATTCACAAATTGCCAGACACAGAATAAATGACAGCATCACCTGTAAAACTATGAAACAGCGGGCCTAATTATCTAGCTTTTGTTCGTCAGCAGCCATCAGCAGTCACAATATGATTATAAACTTGAACTTGAATTTGGGTACTATTCTCAATTAAGCCCCCCAAATCGTCATTCACATTTTCACAATAACCAGCAGGTTAATACTGATATTAAAATCAATACTCTTATACTTGCATTGAATGGCTGTAGAAAAGGTATGTTAGCAGGGGTAGCAGTGCTCTCATTTAAATTCTACTGGCAACAGCTATAAGTGGCTGAAAAAAAACACAACAGGTCTAACCAACAATGAACCCATTGGAGGTCTGTAAAATATTTCCTGACTTATTATGTGTATTCCATTCATGGTCCACGTTTGAAGCGCATTGCTGGAGATGAAAAGCTCATGCAAGATGTTTTTCAGCAGGTTAATCTTAATCTAGCACTGTATCACTCTTATCAGTTTGTTGCAGAGTGACCTGATCAAGGATCAGTGTGCAAAGAAAAGAAGCTGTGACTCCCAACCTGTGCGGTACCGAGGAGGAAACACAAAAGCTCAGACACCTGATCTCGGAAAAAGGCCCAGGCCTCTCCACTGGAGCCTGTGCCGTCACTGCGGTCATTCCAAGAACAGCTAGGGTTACAGCCTAATTTGGGTCATGTGGGAGGGAGTGAACGAACAGAAAGACCTGCCTGCAAAAAAGCTTTTTCACTTGTATTCAGCGCCGACGTCGAGCTAAAAAGTGGATAAAAGGAACATCTTACAGCTAGGATTTAATTTAGCTGGAATAGACCGTTATTCAAGCTTTTCGGTTTGCTCACGAACGGTTTTACACACTGCAGTGCCAGGCAGTGTTACACATGAACGTGAACGTACTTACACCTCTGCTAATAATTCACCAGTGGTCAAACAAAAGTCTGAACAAATACAAAATACGAAAAAGAATTTGTTTTGTTCAAGAAATATTTGCAGTGATTGAAAGGACATTTTAAACTAACTTTTAAGCTAGGACACAAAGACAAAACTCACTGGTACATTCTCTAAACGTGTGTGTCTGTTACAACGTCATGGCTCCCAATTTGCAGTACATTAAAGCAGGAGAACAAGCCTAAAATACTGTACACCTTACCAAGATAAACTCATGATGTACTCCTCATGTCTCTGGTTTCTAAAAATTCTGGAGCAATGGCATGTCTGATTTACAGATTGTCGCGGTCGGCATGGGACGTCCTCGTCTGTGTGACCCTACTGAACGAATGCCCAGGCCTTTTATCTGCTCTGTAGGGTACAAAGGCCTCACCAAACACACAAACACTTGGTAAGCAAGTGCAGTAACATTGACGTGAGGGGAAACTGTTGTTGCACCTGTCTTGTAAACTCCTTGACAACAAGAGGAATGAATGAAAGAGTTGCATGTTTGGACATATCAGTTTGTTGCTGCAGGGTGGTTAAGAAAGAAGAGACTGCACTGTCAGAAGCAAAGCGTGTCAGTAGAGATCTGTGTCTTGTGAAAGGGCCCGGCTGCGTGTTGGGGTAGAGCCAGAGGTTAAAGGGGGGATGACTTCTGTTCACCAGATGGGAGTCTGCTCAGAGCTTCATAGAGGACATTGGGAAGAAAATGAAACATTTCCCCGCTTAGTTTTGATTTGCTCTAATAAGAAGTATCATCACAACATCACTTGGCATTCTGAAGCTGTAGCTGTTGTGATGAGTCACCGACCTCAACAGAGCTTTGCTGTCTTCTTCACTGGAGTAAACTGTGACACAATCCCAAACTCTGAAGTGCACACTTGGTTTCCATGATGACACAGAGTCCACTATCCATGGGTGAGAGTCACAACAGTTGAAGAATTCACAAAGTTGACAATAGAGGGGTGTTGCGTCATCCTCTAACTACTTCAATCTGATGTGAACAATGAGCACCTCAGGGATAGCACACAGAATACATTGTAATTTACACAAGACTTTTATTGTTAAATACGTGTTGGTGTTTATTGTTCTCAATTATGACCATTAATCACTACTATACATTATACTATTAAACTTTTCTATTTGTAGTACGCGTAGCAAGATATACTGTTTACCATACAGAGTTGCATGACAACTGCAAAAAAAATAAGACCTCTCCAACCACATATACTTTGATTGAGCTTTTTGGAGATATTACTAATTTCATGCAAGCTAGAATTCCAACAGGTTCTGTCTCTAGTGAACTCTCTGGTCAACTTCTAGAAGGAAAACAAGGAAACACCTCACACAGGGCTCCAAACTAACTTTTTTTCACTAGGTGCACTGTAGCCCCTAACTGAAGATTTTAGGGGCACAGGCAGAAAATTCAAGGGCACACACCTTAAATAAACCTGCAATGCAATTTTTCACATTTTCCCCATTTTAACTGTATTACTGATAAATGCCTTGGTAATAAATAAAGGAACTACAAGGTACTTTTAAGCCACAGTCACATTTCAATTAATTGGTGCTTGACGCAAAAAAAAATTATGTCAAATTTGCAGTTCGCACTTGTGCGAGTAATTGTAAAAAATACTCAAAAAACAGTTGCAAAGTGCCATTTGGTTGCATTCTGGTGGGCCAACCACACACACACGCACCACCTTCAAACCAGCATTCAGCGTGTAAAGCACACGCACAGCTTCTTTGTCCAGGCGCTGAGGCCAAAGAATAGGTACTGTCTGTTTCACAAGGACTCAGAACACTGTAGTATGCTACCTTTCAAGAACACTGAACTTCATTTCATACCCAGATTGGCTCTTCATCAGGTACAGAGGCATGGGCAACATCTTCTAACCAGTAAGTCACTCTCCTAGCTATGTCCTCATAAAACTGCATTCAGGCTACCTGAACGCTCAATCATGGCATGGCCATATCACACAGGGTCAAACAAGGTCAAACTCACTCAACTAGTTAATGGCTGCACCATATTTTAGCAGGAAGTCCAACTGACAACAAAAATCTCTATCACAAGCGACACCAAGGTAGCAGCTGTACAAATCACAACATATTATAAGCAACTTATACAAAAAAAAACTGAGAGGATATGTTCAGATATTTCCAGGAAGGACAAGGACAATAGGGACTCCAATCTGATCAGTATATTTACTGATGCAAGGCTAAAGACAGTAAACATTTAATATCACAAATTTATAAAACACTATAGAACTCCAAGAACCATTCTACTCTCCAGGTTAAGCAGAAATGGGAGGGGGAGTCTGGCCTCAAGATATCTGAGGATGACTGGAGAACTGTTTGGGCAGTTCTAGCTAAGACCACCAACTCCAGAGCCTGGCGAGAATTCTGTTGGAAGAACATAATAAGCTTTCTTGTGACTCCTACATTGAAATCTAAACAGCAGCATTTCCAGGGACAGAATAAATGCTGGAGACAATGTGGACAGACAATGGCAGACCATTTTCACATTTTCTGGGCCTGCCCCCTTATTCAACCACATTGGCAAGACCTTGCTGGAGAACTTTGGTCAATCTTTGGTTTAAGGCCCCGTGTCCACTAAAGCGTTTTTTCCCAGCTGAAAACGCCAGCTGCTCTTCTGCAAACGCCCAGCAGGGAGTGCTAGCGAGCGTTTTTGAGGCGTAGCGTTTTTACCTCCTGCTCTGGTCGCTATGATACATAAAGTCCGTGGTTGCAAGTAGTTCTACCGAACTTTACTGGATGTAAAAATGTCAACACAGAGTAGAGTACTTGCTCTGGCTCTTGCTCTGTATGAAGAGGAGGCTGAAGCAGGTAGAGAGAGAGGACGGACTTTGTGGGCGCTCCCATTGGAATAAATTGAAAAAAAGACGCTGCCATCAGAAAAAAACGCTTTGGTGAACTAAAAGTTCTCTTTTATCACACTGTATTTGGGTAAAATCCCAGTTGGACTTATGGCCCACGACAACTATCATTACGATCATTAAGCCAAAAGAAATATTCTATACTTTTCCTACATATTGTAGAAACTGACATTTGTAATGATTTCCTGCCAATCACTCAGATGTGTGTAACTAAAGTACACGTGGCATCAAACTAGCCCTTGAAGAAAGTCTACCCTCTACTATACAACCTCAAATCAAAACCTGTTAAACTGATGAGCAGGAGAAGCTTAAGGGACAGACTGCTTACCTGTTCTGCTCCTCTAGTTTGGCAAGCAGCTCCACATCGTCAGGACTGAGCTGCGCCGGTGAGGACGGTGACAGGGCAGGTGAGGACAGAGACGTAGAGGAGGAGGTGGCAGTGGTCTGCAGGGACGTGGGCGTGGCCACCTGGCTAGCCATCTGACTGACCGTGTGGGACACCGAGTTCTTCACCCATGAGAGAGTAGAACTCAGCTTACCAGCAACCTTGTCTGTCGCCACCTGCGAAGGATGGAGAATACTTCTTAATTAGGTCATAACATCTCAGTAATAAAACTTTAGCCTTTACGTTTAGGAACAGGCTTAAATGAAAACTTCACATAGCACAGTCTAACATAAACAAACTACCCTGACAACTTCTCTCTCTGTTAATCATGTGAAGCTTACATTTTTTTTAAAGAATTAAATATTTTTTAAGCATCTAATCTTGCCAGAACTATGACAGAAAAAGTCCCATCATTATTAAATTGCAGCTACATTATCAGTGTTTGTTAGGACTGCACCGGTGGCAGAGATCCAGGCAGTGTCTGCTGGATCAATGTGGCTGCTTAGTTTTCATACTCAGCATTGGCAAATTAACTTGCCTATTTCTAATAGCACAATCAATACTCAATAACTTGAGTAGGGATGGAATGACAATCAATAATCATGAACTTTTATTCTGTCAATTCATTTAATTTAAGAAATAAGATGCTCAATGCAGATTTTTATCCTACTTGATAAACACATTTCTTTTCCAGTAACTTTTACAGATGCACTGCAAATGTGCCGTCAAGTGTATTCAGTCAAATGTTGCATTTCATTTTTATTGAGGAAGAGCACAACAGGTCACAACAATGTACCACAATGAATCACGGTACATTCTGTTACGGAGTTAAAATAATCTACTCTTGATTCATAAAGAAATGTGCATTTCATGGTACATTTCTGACTACAGCATGAAAAACACTACTGCTGATAAGTACCTGGCTCCGTGCTCAGCAATGGCCAAACTTCTATCGTCAAAAAGAGAGACTACAGAGAGGATGCAAGTAACTGTTGGATAACAATGATGGATTTTTTGTTTCTAAATAAGGCCAAGTCAGAAACAATACCCCCTACTAACAGCCAAGAATCTTCTATACATTCCTACCTGCTATTCCCAATAATCCAAAATCATTGGCTTCAGCTTCTGCCATACTCAGTAAATGTCAGTAACATGTTCTATCCACACCTCTGAACCTTTGACCGATTTAATGACACACTGCCCTGTAGTCATATGCTGATCATACTGTCAGCAAGGGTCAAAGTGCTCCACAAGAGGTACAACTTATTTAAGTCTACTGGTGAAATCAGTGTACAACAGGAAGTGGAAATCCACACTCAGCAAAAAAAACTCTTCTGAAATTCACCTTCCACCTGAGAAAAAGCAGAATTAGTCTTGCCTTCAGTGTAACCCCAGCAGGAAGTCTGGATACTGGCACCAGGCAGGAAACCAATCATTTCATACATCTTATTCAGTATAAAATGATGAGTCATTTCTCTGTGAGTGTCAGGTCTACAGAGTGCCAAAGACATGAAGGAGAAGGAGAGAAAAACAAAGGAGGTACAGGAAAAGATTGTGGTAAATGGGGTAATAGGACTGTGCTACAGTTCAGACTGAAAATATGTAGCTAAGCTTTTTATAACCTCCTGTACAGAGATAGAAACACTAAACAACTTTACTGTTAGCACACAACACAGATGAAGAGCTGGAAAATCAACTGAACTGTTGATACAATATTATTATCAGAAGTTATATACTTCAGTTCAATGGAATGAACATCAGTTTGATACTTTAACATGGGATTTTCTCATATGGGCAGATATATATAATCCCGTGGAAGCTGCACAATTTTAGTCTTGATCCATATTTTCTTTTCATTAAATTGAGCTTTAAGTTCAAAACATTCACCCTTGACACAAAAATTTCAAGAAATCCTGCATGTCTGCAACACTCCGCAAGCCAAAAAGCCAGGAAGTCATGTTTTGGATGATAATGAATTTTTGATGGTGGGGTTTCAATTTCCTCATAATTCTGTCAGAGAAATGTGTATAAAAAAGCAACACAATAATGACATATATTCTTTTCAAAACTAAACAAGTTACAGTCTACAGGGCATCCTGGTGGCCCAGTGGTTATGAGGCATATAAGCAGCATACCAGGTTTCAGGACATTAGTTGCACAAATCTCTCCCCACGTTTCCTCTCTGTATATTCACTGTGATATATCTACTGTAATAAAGGCCAAAAAAATTCCAAACGAATATGAGAAAAAAGGTTGAAGATAAGTTCAAAAAGTTTTAATTGATGTATTATAAAATATACTGTATATTACATAACACGTTCTAACCCAGTGGTCTCCAGGTGTAGTCCATTCAGAAATGGGAAATTGGTCACTAAACCTTTACTGTTTTTATTACTACACCCTGTTCCTGAGCTGGCACTGTGGGGGGCATATTTACTAACCTTCATCAACAACATGACATTACAGCTAAACTAACAGTTCGTCATCATGTCGATCCCACAGGGAAGCTGCACAGATGATAGATGACATCATGACACCTAACCAATAGAAGAAAACACTTACCTTGTAGCAAAAACATGTTAGGACATAAGACTGTCATAGAAGAGTAAAGGAACCAGAACATGCTCACATTTGAGAAGCTGAAATCAGAGAATTAAGTTTTTTCTTTTTTTAAAAAGGACTCAAAGCAATTTATTTAATAGTTGACAACTAATCGATTAATCGACTAATCATTGCAGCACTACTGTACATACGGGCATGAGGTTACTTCACAGGCTGCCTCCCAATGAGGGATGCCATGCAGAACTAACTTGGGAGAGAAAAAATGACCATCTCGACAAAACACCGTGTGGACACAAGTGAAGTTTGGCCTGGACCTTGCCTTGTTTGTGTGTGCTATTAGGTCTGATTAAGAATGAACCTTGTTAATGATGAACCTTATTAGCTGATTTCCAGAGTTATAAAATCTAGAATGAAACAAATCCCAGTGTGCCCTAATGCAGTTTTTGAAGCAGACTTTAAGCAACCTGAATACCACATTCAGGGAGCAAAATGTGAGCAGACCTAACTCAGTCAGGACAGAGGAGGGCAATGCTTTGGGAGATGCCAATATCCAGGTGGCCTTAGAAGACATTCCTTATAGCAACCCCAGCCAACTGAAGCAAGGCTTCACTATAAATCCTGGATCCAGAGATTGATTCTGCTTTGTTTGCCAAAGAACTCAAAGGGCCCCTGAGATGCAATGTGCATAGCTAATGAAACCCACAGCAAGGAAAGAAAAAAAGCCTCAGCAACACAACTTCAAGACGACTGGGGAACTGACAAAGACCAAAGGCAGAATAGAGAAGCATTTCCTTTCTCCTAATTCAAAATGAACAGCACCCATCAGATACCGCACAGTAATCTAAGACAGACCCGTATTACAAATTTAAAAAGTACTTCAGTCTATAAGCTTTTTTCAGTTGTCATCTGAGGGGGGAAATAATAATATGTAAATAACCTTCCTCTCTTTTACTTCTCTTTCATCCCAAGCCATTTCTAGGCAGTGAATAAGAACAAAATTGTCTGGCCCAGCAGGAGAGCGCATGGCTATGCCGCCCATGTGCTGTGTGAGGGTATTAAAACACAGGCCTGACTTACAAAAACACACTCACACTGAGCTAGAAAGGCCTTTCAAAGGATTTTCCCAGTGTACAATCAGCATTATAACAAAACTTGCTGAAGGCAATTCTTCATTTTGCAGCCACATCATGAGAGCTACAACCACTGGCTGCTATTTCTCACTTGGCCCGCAAACCCTGAACTGTAATATAGTAGAGCAGGAAGGACATTAAATGTTCCAGTCAACACATAAATCTCTGTCTACGGCTAGTTTATTCTGTGGGAATGACTGCGATAATTGATCTAAAACATTCTGTGAAACTGTGTTTAATCTCCACTGTCTACATCAGTGACTGACATACGGTCTTCCACAGGCTACTTCTAGAAACCTGCATTCTGCCAATATGTGGTGTTACTTGTTACTTTAAAAGCTCACTTCTGTTATTTGCACTCAGTTGTTTTCACAGATGTCACCACAGCTTCTTAAAGTCACTCAACCGTTTCTTCTCTATTTACTGTTGATTCTCCGAAAACTTTTTTAATGCTCTGATAGTTGAAAAATAATACAACTGAAAAACAGATGCAAAGCATAAAACAAATAAATGCATTTCTTCTGCTCCCTCATTAGTGCCAAAACATGTATTGTAACTCAATAATGTTCCTTAGTGTCTATAGTGAGGGAAGGGGGGGGGGGGGTGTAATAGCTGAAACAAGTTCTGACAAGTGTATCCTCTGACATGGCTATCTCTAGTCTCACAGACCCAACTTACTGGCAAAAAAAGAAGAGTTGTTTAGTGTTAATTGCATATATATATATATATATATATATATATATATATATATATCAGAGCCATTGCTTGGCAGAGGAGTAACTGAAACTGCAACATTTAGTCAAATGAACAGCTAAACACATTTAGACGCACTAGTATTGTTCTTGTTTTAACAGTGGCATTTTCTGCTCCACTACTTCTATCTATTATTCCTAGTCACAACTTCAAAAAGGTTTTACACTTTTGAGCTAAAATGTTAAGCTTTGTTTTAGGTGAGCAATCTAGCAAAATATATAGAGAGAGTATTTAAATCAGTTAGAACACAAACTTACCTACCAGGTCCCATTTCCTCACAATGACCGATGAAATACATTTAATCGAGTTTTACTCAGTTTGCCTAATGTGAATTTTTTTTTCAGATCACTGCTTTAACATAAACAAACAGTTTTAAAGGTGTTAAACTACATCTCTGCTCATAGAGCTGCGTTGTTGTTGTTGCAACTAGCAAGTCACTTCTCGTCAGTCAAAGATATCCATGGCCTGAACACAGCCAGTGGCACTGCTGAGAAGTTTAAATCCTTCGCTTAGTTAGTCTACACATCATGCTCTCATACCTATGGAAAACATTTTGGTTTACAGGCTGTAAACAGAGGACCGGTCCAGGAGAAGCGTCTATTCCTTTTATGGCTCGCTGGTGTTGTGAGCTGTAATGGAGATCTAGCATC